CAAAGGCAGACGCGTCACGACTGAGCCACCCAGGCGCCCCAAAACGTATTTCTTTGTGCAATCCAAATTAGTCGCGGTGCAAAGGCCTTTACGGCAGCTTTCCCTGTCTCCTGAAGCTCAGAGTCCTCGAGCCCATCGAGGAGCGCAGACGGGCAGCTCCCAAGGAAAGTCCTGCCGGCCCGTCCCCCGCACGGGAGCAGAGAAATCCGTGCCCACGAACAGCACGCAGTGGTAGCGCTCTCCGCAGCAGGGCCCAGCCAGACCAGAGCTGCGGTCCCCGCCTGCGGCACGATGGTCACCTCACGGGTCATGACTTAGCTGACTTCTCCGAAACCCTGCACGCTCCTCAGGCCTCCTGCCCCGAGGGGAGCAGGTGCTCTGGGATGTCTACCTGGAAGATATCCTTTCCGCCTTTCCTGGGGATGGGCTCCAGCAACCACCTGGGGTTCGAAAGCGCCGTGAGGTACTTCTGCTTCAGGCTGGTCAGCACAGCTCGATTTTCCAGTTCCACGACGTCATCGGGAGCCAAGTCTTCTGGGCACGGCAACGTTTCCCCAACGTCCACAAGCCCTGTGCACAAAGAGAAGTGTGCACTGGTTTTTCCTTCCAGAAACAGAGGCCCGCGTGTTGGAGAACACGGTTATTGAAAGCGACAACCACCAGAGACCACGAGGGTCTCCCCAAGGGGCCACAGAGGACACCGGGCCGCTCTGGCCGAGCATCTGCGACGTGCCAAACTCTGTTCAGGGAATTCTGGGTGAGGCCGAGGGATGGAGAGAAGGAAGTGGAGGATCTTGTCCTCAACGGCCACACCCAAACAATGGGCTGGCCCCAGCCAGACTGCTCAGGGCAGCAGGCGGAGGTCAGAAGGGCTCCAGACACCAGGGGGAAGAGGCCATCAGGTCCCCGAGCACTTTGGCAGGTGGCAAGTGCGGCGGTGGGACCTGACCCACCCAGGGCGCAGGGAACTTACCTGGGATGCGGGGACGGTGGGGGTGGGGCATCGCCCTCGAAACCAGGCAACAGCCTGAATCTGGAGGCTACCGCAACCCACACCGGGCACTGCGGTCTCCACCTCCCACGGTCTCTGCTGCATGTATGCGCACGCACACACAGACGCACACACACTCGTGCGCAAACACACGGGTTTACACATACACACGCACAGGCCAATGCCACGTGGAGACTCGGAAGCTGTCCCTGCCTCTCAGATCGACAGTGGGAACCAAGGCCCAGAGCGGCCGCAGGGTCCCCCCGAGGTCGTGGGACCTCGGCAACTCCCCCACCCCCAGCCCATGGCCCCTTGCTGCCCCTCTGAATGGTGTGTTGCTCGGCTCACACGCCAAGCAGTTCGAAAGAAAACAAGCCACAAAACTCCCTAGCTAGATCCCACGGCGTTAGCCCGTGGAGGTGTCTGAGCAGCATCTGACCCATCATCACTTGCCAGCTATCACGCCACGGCCATACTTTTCCCCTTCCCGAAGCAAGGCCTGAATCTGAGCGGGGGCCATCCCCAGCCTCTCCACCAGCAGCCTCCTCCACGCGGTGTCTTCCCAGTCCCTGTGGGCGATGTGGACGGCGATGGTACAGTTCCGGTGGCCGCTCAGCAGAGGACGCCAACGCGTCTCCACGGTCTTGAGCCCATTTAAGACGAAACCTGCGTAAGGCTGCCGGAAGGAGAGGCAGCTGAACTGTATCTCCCTACAGCTCCTGGGGCCTCCCCTGGCCTGCGGGAACACGGAACCACGAACGTCAATGAGCATCATGCCCAGCGCTCCAAGCTCATGACCCGCGGGCAAGGCCTCTCCCCAGTGTCCCCTGGGTTGCCCTGAGACCCTACTGACCTGGACGGTGGGGGAGCCGAGAGCCCTTTCTCCTTCTTTCTATCACTACACAGTCAACCGACAGGCCCAAAGGAAGGGGCCGGGGATCAGGACGACGTGTCCATCAGACGGAGTCTTGGGCGAGCTCACGGACGATGGCGCAGACAGCTAGAGAAAGGCACGGCCGGGACAGCATGTGGTCAGTGCTACAACAGAGGCCACGGAGCCCCATGAGAGCACAGAGGGGGACGGGCCCCTGGGTTTAACGACTCAGACAGCCTGCTCTAGCCCTTTCCCGGCACAGACAAGGCCAGTCCTGGGCCTGGCTTCTTCTCCTGCCAACCCACTCGGGTCCCTGGCCCTGCCACCGCTGAGACACTGGAGATCCCCGGGCTCCTGTCCTGGGGCGGCGGAGCACAAATCCTTGGTATCGAACCTCAGCTCAGCGCTGGGGGCGCCCCGCGATCTCAGATGGCCCCGGCCCCTTTGGGTGCCACCCTCCTCGGGCCCCTTCCTGCCCCACTGCTCTCCACTATCAACAGACACCCCCAACCCCGACCCGAGCCTAGAGAAAGGAAATACAAGAGCAGGAACAACTGGTCCCAGGGCGCACGCACTGTCTCTATGCCAGGCACAGGGGAGGGGCACGAACCACACACCATAGGATTCAATCCTCAAATCACCCGCTACAGCAGCGCTACCATCACCTCACTCTGTACCTGAGAATGAGGTGCCGAGGAAGAGACAGATGGCCCATGACTGCAAGGGGATCTGAGTGCATGTACCCCCTGCCCTTGCACCTGGATGGGGGGGGCGGGTCCCCCCTCCTCACGGGAGGACAGAGCTGTGCAGTGGGAAGAGCGGGGCCCCGGGCCTGAACCTCAGCTGGGTCCCGGTACCTCACAGAGCCTCAGTCTCCAGCGTGGCTGCGAGGATCGGGGACAAGGTGCCAAGGGCACCTAGCCCAGTACATGACACCTAACAGGACAGTTACAAACAGTGGCTGCCCATCATCATCATCGGGCCTGGGGCTCTACACTGAGCCCCTGAGTACCACCTACTCCGGTTCATCTCTGCTCCCAGTTCCTGAAGTACATAAACCTGGCCCCAACGACATTCTCTTGTTTAAGAAAACACATCCACCCTCAAAGACAAGGCCCCGTGATCACCAAAGCTGCCTCATGTTCACCCCTTCCCGATCCACCGTCCTGCCTGTCCCCACGTCCAGAC